TGGCATAATGTAAGGCACATGCAAAGTGAACAGTAAATATTAATTCCTTTCACTCTAGTTGGAACCTTTAGGCTGGTTCATTCCATATTTAACTCTAAGTCTTCCTTGGGATTCTTTTTTTTTATTTTTTAAAGATTTTTATTGGGGAATTGGAGGGATGGGAACAGCGCTGGGGAATTGGGGGAAGGGGAACAGACAAGTTGCTGTCCTTTTGTTCTTCAATCTAGTTGTGGAGAACGTTGCTTCACTGGCCCAAGTTGGCACCATCATTGCGCTCTTCCCGGGTGAGGCAGATCAGTCACTGGCTTCTGGACGGCCGCTCACGGTGGCTGCTGGCTATACACAATAGCCCATGGCAAGCCACTGCAGCAGCAGCCTATGCCATCGCTGGCGACTCATGGCAGCCCAGCTCTAGGTTGAGCTGTTTTCACCATTCTTAGCTGTAGAGAGCAGTGTCACTGGCCCTCATGTGGGATCTGAACCGAGGCCCTTTGGCGTCCCAAGCCAGCTCTTAACCATCACGCCACTCGGCCGGCCCTTCTTTGGGATTCTTAGAACTGTGTATTCTTGTTATTGGAGTACATCCCGGCTTTCTCATCAACTATAAACTCTTAAGAGTGTTTTCCCTGTTATATTTGTCATAATGATTTATTCATGCTTGTGTTCTATAAATGTTTGTAGAAAATTGAGCATGTATTTAAATACCTATTATGTGTAGTGCATGCAGTTAAACACAAAGCAAAGGAAAAGGGAAGGCATATTCTATGAGTAGTTGTACGTTGGGAAAATGTTGCCCTCTTTTAAAGAAATGAAAGTATGTTTAATAAGATAGATTGGAATTTATAAGAGTAAAAGATGTTGACACCCTGGAATGTAATAAAATAAATATGGTAAGGACAGTAAAAAAACAGAAAAAAATATTTTACAACACGTCTGATACAATCTTACTATACAAAAATAGATGAAGATTTGATAGAAATATATTTGGTCCATAATAGGATTCTGCTTTACAGATAGTTGGAGGAGAGAAACAGTTCACACATGAAGAAATATTAATAGAAAACCTTTGTGAAGAATACATAGTTTTTCTAGCAATTAATGTAGCTCAGACCTCTCCAAAGTACATTTATCCAGTAAAAGATTTACTCAAGAAACATAACGCGGTGAAAGAAAAGATTAGTATGAAAGCATGTGGTGCAAAAGCATTAAAAACAAAAAACAATAACAAAAGCAAATTCTAATCCCCATTTTTCTAAGCCTTTTCACTTCCATGACAGCTTTTTTAAAAAACAGACTTTATTTAAGAGCAATTTTAGTGTCAAAACAAAATTGAGTGGAAGGTACAGAGATTTTCCATATACCCACTGCCTCCACACAGACACAGCCTCCCCACTAAGAAAAGACTGCACCAGAGTGGTGCCTCTGTTATAGCAGACGAACCTGCATTGACCCGTCATTATCACCAAAGTCCACAGTTTATATTAGGGTTCACTCGCAATGTTGTACATTCTGTGGGTTTTCACAAGTGTATACTATTCATCGTTAAAGTACCACGTAGTTTCATTGCCCTAAAAATACTCTGTGCTCTGCCTTTTTATCTCTCCCATAACCCCCTGCAACCACTCATCTTTTTACTGTCTCCATAGTTTTGCTTTTTCCAGAATGTCTTGTAGTTGGAATCATACCCTGTGTACACTCTTTAGATTTGCTTTTTTTTCCCCCACTTAAGTTTCCTCCCTTTCTCTTCATGGCTTGATAGCTCATTTCTTATTAGCGCTGAATGATATTCCATTGTTGGAAGGTAACACAGGTTATTTATCTATTCACCTAACTGAAGGACATCTTGGTTGATTCCAAGTTTTGGCAACAATGAATAAAGCTGCTGTAAACATTCGCTAAGCAGCTTTTGTTCCCTGTCAGTCACTTAATCTCTCTGGGGCTCAATTTCCTCATCTAAAATTTATCTCATGAGTTCTAAGGATTCTGAGGTTTGAAATTATATGGCTATATAAGTAAAAATTATAAAACATTATGTTTTAGTAATTCTGAATAACTCAGGAATTGCCTGTATGCTGATGACATTGTAAGTCGATAAAGCCTTTCTGACAGAAAGTTCGGTTCTATATAATGGAAATGATAATTTCTTCTTACTGTTTGATCAGCTCATTCTATTTTGGGGGTATACTTCAAGTAAACCCAAATGAGGGTTAAAAAATAACATCTTTTGTTTAAATAAAGATATTCGTAGAGAAATTTATAAAAGCCAATCAAAACTATAAAAACAACACAGATCCCCAGAAATGGGGAAATGCGTAGTAAATTGCATGAGGGCAGGAATCACGACTATTTATTCCGCCTGGTGTATCCCGGGCACCTTACGCAGTGTGGTGTTCCAAATATTTGTTGGCTGTAAAAAAGATTGAGTCAGAGATCTTAACGGAAAGAGAAAGAGCTTTTACCTACTATAAAAGGTGATAGGAGATGACATTCTGTTCTTCCTTTTGTTTGCTGCTTTATATCCCTCACTGCTAATCTCAGGTGTGCCTGCTGTTACCTGCTGGACTCCACACCTGCCTCCTTTACTGATACCAGTGAAGGCTTTAGGCACGTGACATAGCAGCCATGGCACATCAGCTTCTCACTTGGAAAAGAACGTCACTGTGGTTGTAAAGGAGTAGATTGTCCCAGCTTTGCCAGGACAGTCTCAGTTTATGCCAGAGTACTCAGTGTAAACCTTAATAGCATCTCCTTTCACTCTCAAAGGTATCTGGTTCAGACATTACGTCACCATTTAGTCTGCGGGTCTGATTTTCTTTTTACTTCGGTGCTATAGTTGGGAAACATTTTCTGTTTTTTTCAGTTCAGTTTAAGGAACGTTTATTTAATACACTCAATAGATGTAAGATGTGAAATACAAGGAAAATTCAAATAATGCCCCTGTCACCAAAGAATTTCAGTTTAATATCTTTTCCTCTTTAGTTTACTTTGGTAACTCATAGCCTTATGCAGAGTCAGAAGTGCTCCTAGACCCAAGCTCCCGCTGGCTTCACCCATTTAAAAGACCCTTTTCTGGCTTGCCTCTGGCTGCCCGCCCCCCTCTCCCGTGGAACTTGAGGGAATATACCCATCTAAGAACCTGTGCCCCCACCACATGGAGCTCTGAGTGTTTGGACAGTGGAATTCCTCGCCCAAACAGTTCTGAGCCTGCCTCCAGGGCCTGTGTGGACCTCTTCCCTTGGACACACACACACACAAGGCTCCTCCCAGTGCCAGGTAAGCCAGGGATGGGAGGAGAAGGGAGTGGACAGCAGGCTAGCCGCAGGAGCTAGGGTAGGCTTCTCCCATTCTTAGGCGTTCCGAAATGCAAGAATTCTCATTTTGTACCTGGCCTTCAGAGTCATTTTGAATGTGTATTCCTCCAAGTGGGTGAATAGAACATATTTTATGTGGTAGTTTATTAGCTTGACTTACATAGCTTTTAGATATTTAAACACATGGTACCTAAGCCTTCATTTGGTTTCTTGCCAGGGACCCCACACTGATCTGGAGCAGGCCTACTCAGAGTAAAACCTGAAATCCTTACCATGTCCTAAGAAATCCAACACCATCTGTCCCTACCCCCTGTACCATGCTCTGCTCCAGGTGTGCCAGCTTCCTCACTGCCCTGGAACACTCCAGGCATGCTCCCATCTCAGGCCCTTGCATTGCTGCTGCTGCTTACTGGAGTGCTTTTCTAGGTACCCACATGACGTCTTTCCTCATGTCCTCAGGTCTTCTCTCCTTGTTCCCCAAAGTCATTATTTTGTCAGAGAGAACTTGCCTAGTCAGTCTTGCTAAAATTTTAACACTCTCCAAACACTGACTGTCCCCTTCCCTGTTTTATTTTCTCCCTGAACACACATCACTGTAAAAAAGTTAGAAGTAATAAAAAACTAAACTAGTTTTTTCCCCCTAAGTATTTTTCTTTTAAAACCCTTTAGATATTAAGACTTTTTCCCTAAAAAACAATTATTTTTGTTTTTATGCCCTAAAGTCATCCATGTACCCGCTTTAAAGAATCACATGGTTCTCTAAGGCTAGTTACTTAAAGCAGTAGTCCCCCTACCCTGTTCTCAATTTCAAGGGTAACCATTTCTGTCTTAAATTCTTTTTGTATTTTCCATCATATCTACATAACACGCTTATTGTGCTACCTCCTAACTTTTCAGTTTTAGGTATTTATTTTTACTTTTCCCCATAGAGGATGAGAATTAAGCCTTCCCTTGTCACTGTCACACCCTGTGCATGCACACACATGTATCCAGCTCCCCGCTTCACAGTATAGTTAAATTGTGCTTTTGGTTAGCTCAAGTTTCAGTGTTCTAACAGCTGGCAACACTAGTCACAGCTGAGCCAGGTAGTACACTGTGACAGCTTTTCCTTTCTTCGCAGCATTTTATTTTTCTTGGAGTTAAAAATTGCCATGATTTTGATCTGCTTACCTTTTTAGGTTATTAACATCAATTCTACTACAGATGGTCCCATTTATACATATCTTCTTTCAATATGTTCAGACATCTGTATTCTGTTGTTTTCTTTTTCTTGAAAAAACTCGCTCAGAGTCTTCAGATCTTTTGTAATCTGAACAGTTGTTCTCAGGGTCAGCTTCAGTTTGCCTGAAACCAAAGAGATACCTCTAAGAGGGCTTGTTTATCCCCAAAGGGATATTGGGCTGTCGTTGCAGATACAGTTGTTTTTTTCAAATGTGTTATTATGTGAACAAATTATGAAAATGTAACTACCATGAATTTGTCTACGGTTCTCTTTCATGTGTTGTAATTAAGAACCCTTTTATTAAAAACACAGAATGTATTCTTATATTTTATTGTTTTGCATAGAGCATATTAGGAATTACTGGAATAATCTTAATAAATTTATATATATACACACACACACACACACACATATATATATTTGTGCTGTATTCTTTTTTTGTGTTTTATTGTACTCTTTCTTTATAGGCTCTTAAAATTAGAGAGATCTGTAACTGCCCACCGCTTTCTGGACCTGACCCCCGAGAAGTGTTCAGACTCACTGTGAAGCATTACCTTGAAGAATCAGAGAAAGAAGCACTAAATATCACTGTTAAGAAACAGAAAGTGGATACTCTTCCCATTCAAAACCAGAAGCAAATCCCGTTAACATATATAGTTGAGAAAAGAACTGACAGTTGAATTAAAATTTGGGACACAGGATATATGAAGAATGCAGCAATCCTTATCATTTTTGTTCCTTTTTCAAAAGATGATCAAAATGAAAAAAAAAAAGTAGATATTCAAGGTTGAATCATGCGTATTACAGGTATTACCTAAATTATTCTAGGTTTTTATTTTTCATGAAATATTGATATATTTTAATCTATTTTAAAATATCTTCAAATAAGGAAAATGTCATAGAATAAATTTATATTACACATTTTACTCTGTCTCCTACTTGCTTTCGATTTGGAAGACAGACCTCTAGTGGGTGAGAAATTAGAATGTGTGGTAGTTGTTACTGTAGAGAGAGAGGATTCTGTCTGATTCTAAACTGGGTTTCAGAGCCCGGGTGGTTATGATAAACTGGGAAATCGATAGCCTTTAACCATACTGTTTACAGAAATTGGTCTGCATTGGGTGGATCACGTGGAATAGGGGACCTTGGGATAGAGAATTCCTCGTCCTTACTATGGACAATGAGGGGAAACGACTATAGGCAGACGCTGAAAGAGCTGTTTCCATAGGGAAGCACAAGTAATGGTGTTTGTGGTCCCAGTGACAAAGTGAGAAACAGAATGGGAAAGCGGGTCATTTCCTTGTAGACACAGTGTGCTTCTGGTGCCCTGAAGTCTTAGCAGAAAGCCATGTCCTTTTGGCTCCTTGATGATACTACAATTTGGGATTCTCGGGTTCTCAGAGAAGGCAGCTATCCTGCTGAGGGTCGCACCGGGAGCGGCAGGAGAAGGTTGTGCCCATAAGTTGGTCTCGGCGGCAGACATCAGCAAGGGGCTGGAAGAAGACGAGGGAAGAAGCACAAGACACATCCCTAGTGGGACCCAGAAATTACTGTACTATATAAATGTGGAAATACATTTTAAAAATGTGTTGTTATTTATATAATATTATTTATACTCCCAAACGGGTGAAGTCTAGTGATGTTTAGGCTATATTCCTAAGAGGAACAGTTTTCTTGAACTATTATATTAGTTTCTTAGAGAATTAAAGGAGAAAGAAACTTACCTTTTATTGAGTATCTACTATGAGCTGAGCCTATTTATTCCACAACCCTATAAAGTAGGTTTTATTATTCTCATTGTACAACGAGAAACAGGCTTGGAGAGGTTAAAGAATATACTGATGTCTCTCTAGAAAGAACAAAGCTAGATCTCTTTCTGATTACAAATCTGTCCATTTCCACAACTCTCAGATATCTGAAAACTAAGCTATCAAGAGACAAGAAACAAACTGTATTCTCAGTTGTTTGTTAGCTTCCTCGTATATGGCTTCAATACAGGTAAAAATCTCATAGGTATAAGATCAGAGATCACTTATACCTCTGATTTTCTATATCTGCAGGATAATTTTCCAGGCCCTCCTCTCAGACCCTATCAGAATTTACACACAAAGCCTGGTGTGAGGCAGGAAAGGAGAGTAGACCCTCTCCCATGCCTGTGAAAGCCTGTGACTTCTCATTTGGGATGTGTCGTAACAGTGTTACATTTTCTTAGACAAAATGTTTACCTAGTTGTTAAGAAGACAAGTTAAGAGCCTATGTATGTTTCTCAGGGCTTACTGTGGATTGATTGTGAGGAATTTCTTGATCTGCACACAAGGCAATGCTTGCAAGAAGGAGGTTCAGATTAACTGGTCTCCATATAGTTGTTCTTTACACTTCTAGTGATTGGAGTTCTGTCAGAGGCACTCCATAACATGTACACACGTTTGGAGAATGTCACCTAGAGGTAAACAGTAAAACACACCATTAGATTTCCCTGTAGACTTCCTAAGAAAACAGTGCAGCAGCGACCCTAGTCCATTTTTCTTCCATTGTATTATCACAGCTAATTGTATTGTTGAGACTCCTAGAAAACATATATGAGTTGACATCGTGCCAGAAAGAGCTGAGAAAATATAGTGATAATACCTTTCTATGAAAAAGATTTTTTTAAAACTCATGGAATCAATAAATGTAAAAGAAATATAGCATTTCAGCTCAGGATTTTAGGAGAAATTAAATGGCAATTGGAATGTAATACCTATACATATATTTTAAGCTGTGTGTGGAAATGACCTCTGTATGTTCTATATTTAATTGCATAACTTAGTGCTTTTCATGTGCCTATAAGATTTAGAAGATGTTGGCAGTTTAGCTCAGTTGTTAGGAGCATGATGCCAGTAAATCCAAGGCACAGATTTAGTCCATTCTCTGGTGATAGTTGTAAGACTGTATCCCTAAAACTAAACTCAGAATATGTGTATGTCCCTAATAACTAACAGTTTTTGGCTGTTACAGGCATTCAGTTAATATTTTACTGATACTGTATATTCAACAGTAATCATCTGGTCAAAGGATTTAAAAAAAAAAAAAGAAAAGAAAAGAAACACTAGTAGTCTGTGAAATTTCTGCCTCTTGGTAGCCATGGGCCCCTGGGTTAGTCACATAAACTCTCTAACCCTCATTTCTTCATTTGTGAAATGGGGATAATAAATCCTACCTCACAGGATTGACCATACATGATGATTAAAGGAAATGATGTACTTAAGGCATTTAGCACAATGTCTAGAGCCCCAAACAATAAAAAGAGCCTCATTTGTTGAGTGCTTACTGTGTACCGAGCACTGTGCTAAGCATTTATCAATCACCATTGAACCTCACTGCAGCCCTGTATATGGTTAGGTATTTTGTGGTTCCCCGTTATAGATCAGGAAGCTGAAGTTTAGAGGGTTAATGAGACTTGCTCAAGGTTACACGGTCTATTTCTTAAGATTATTTTACTTGCAAGAACAAAAAAAAGAAACCCTCAAACCCAATCAAGAAAATTTATTGGCTAACAGAAAAGGCTGGAAGTACACTAGCTTCGGACACAGTTTAGTCTAGAGGATTATGATATCATCAGAGCAATGGCTCTTCTCCTCTGTGATTTTTCTCAGTTCTGGCTTTGCTCTTCCCTGATGATATAAAAATGGCTGCCGGCAGCTCCCAGGGTTCTGTTGTTCATTCGCATCCAGGAGGAAGAGTGACTCATCTCACAACTATTGAAACAGCCTTCAACACTAACAGCATCCTTTTAAAGAGCATCCCAGAAGCAATCACCGCGGCAGGGGATGGGATTATCCTGACTTGCTGGAGCTGAGAATGGTATAGTCAACACCACCCAAACAGCTGCTATGTGCAGGTGGGAGACATGCAACTACAGAGTCTAACTGGAATAAAAACCCAGTATCATTTATCCTCTTTCATCGGGCAAACACCACAATGCGTTGAAGATTTGGTCTGGAATGATAGTTAATCTGAGCAAAAGCAACAGCATAAGTTTTACATTGATATGATGATACATTTGTATTAGCATATTTTCTTTACTAGTTACAACATATTGTTTTCGGACCTGAGTTATCTTGTATCCTCAAAATTCACCTATGAGATTGAAAGGATAAGTGGCGTTATTGCCTCATAGGGAAGAAAACTAAAGCTCGGAGAAATTAGGCAAGTTATCCTAATATGCACTTTCAAGTAAATGTCAGGAATGTGAGGAAAGGACTCATTGATTTGTAATCCAGTGCTCGTTCAGCGATATTACCGTCTTTTGAGGGGGAGGTATTGCCTTCATTTTTTTAGCTGGAAACCAAAGCTCAAAGATATTAAGCAACTGTGTGCCCAGTACAACTCAGCATGTAATGGCAGATCTGAGCTTCAAGCCCTCATCTTCTGACTCAGAAGTCTGTGCTCCTCGGCAATTTACTGCCACTTCAGTTGGCAAATCTTATAAAGGAAGTGGGAATGAAAAGTGTTCATTTTCCTTCACCCCTCACTTGTAAACAGCAGGCCCAGCACCCTCTGGTCCCTTATGTTAAAGCACTCGTTTTAATACTCTTGACAGGTGGTAAAAATATCCAATTTAAGTATATTCATTTACGTGAAGGACAAAATTCCTGTTTAGTGTCTCAATGTGTTTTGATTAGGGCCTAAAGAGTTCTTTAATCCTTCATAAGAAATATCTCATCATTATGTATCTCATGATATGGTAAGAAAACCTGTATCAATCAATGTTCTACCTTTATACCTTGCCTCCTAATTTCCATCAGAAAACCAATAGCCCTCAAAAGTAGGCCAGTGGCTCCTAGCCTTTTAACTGCCAAGGACTCATTTTAACATTACCCAGCTCTGTGTGCAGGGACTTTTACCCCATAAAGTTTTCTCTGTCTTAAGGTTTGGAGTGTCTAGACTCATGACCGTGGTCTCTTGCTGCTGTGCTGGCTGTTAAAGAGTTGAGCTAGCTGGGCTTGGGGCATAAGTCACAATGTGTTCCTGCTTTCAGGTCTCAGAATTTCTGTGATATTATCAAAGACCAATCAGGACCTCTGATCATCACGTGATCTTGCGTGTTACCAAAATTGCAGCCAAAAGAAAAATTTGTGATTTTAATTAGTCTAGGTAGCCTAATTATGTGATAGAAAATATAAAATTTTTAGCTAGGCTCTTTGAAGTATTAAGCATACTTAGCAGATTCCCAATTCCATCTTCACAGACCATAAGGGGCCTGGGACCTCATTCTGGGCAGCATCGGTCTAAAATCAGATTTGCTTTTATTTTCCTCTTCAGAATATAAAAGAAAATAAAATTAACATGTATTCATTTTGACCAATATGTCAAAATAGAACCATATTTTTGTAGATTAGGGATGATGAATGGTCTACTTAAGGGCTCTGTTATTCTATATTTAAGGATATATTTTTTAAAGTAACTATTGTGGCACAGAAGCAAACAAATTGAATTTAATTTTTCTCACAGCTCTTCCTCTCTGATGTTATATTAATAGTAGCCTTGAGAGAATCAAGGGCAGCCCGACTAGTCTTACTCTTTTCTTCGGGAACATGGGATAGTAACATTTGCCCTGCTCACTTCCCAGGATTATCATGGATTTTGAATAACGTGTATATGCTTTGTACAACACCCACAATGCTGGATCCACGGTATTCCTTATAGTCTAGCATTGTCTTAGCCTGGGCTGTGAGAGTATTAGTTAGGAGAGATCATTTCCACAAGAGTGACCACTTGTCTGGTCTGATACCACCCAGAATTGATTGAAGATCTGCTCTTTATTCAAGTGTGAGAAAAAGGGAAGCTTATTTGTAGTACATTTTATTTTGGTCTGATTTGAGAGCGCGAGCGAGAGAGAGAGAGAGAGAGAGAGAGAGAATAACCTAGCTACTCTATTAATCCT